CCAGGCACCGCCCGCCCTGGCCTCCTCCAAGAGCTGGAAGGAGAATTTGGCCTCCTCATTAATTTCCCATGAAATCTGGGAATAGCGAGAAAATCCCATCCGGCTGATGGAGAGCCCACCCGCGCCAGGAGCCGCAGGGACGTGGGGGCGATCGGTCCTTGCCTCCCCCTCTTGGCTCTGCCGGGATTTATATCACGTTCCCACCCAGTTCGATCCTCTGGGATGAAGAATAGCCATAAACTGGCAAAGGTTGGGCATTTGTTTCCTCTAATATTATGTATAGATTTTCTTTTACTCGAGTGTTTTTGGAGGCTGTAAGAAAGGGAGGCCTGAGAGGGGCAATGTGCCCATTACAGCATCCTGCAGAAATCTTCATCACAGTTTTGGGAGGGGCTTGTGCCTTTCCCTGCATCTCCCATATGCTGCCCAGTGCCTGGGACCTAGGGGATGGAGGGGATGGAGGGATGGAGGGGATGGAGGGAGAAGAGCAGCAGGAGGAAGAGGAGGAGGGGGAAGAAGAAGAGGAGGAGGAGGATGAGAAGGAGGTTCTCACTGGGAAGGGAGGACCCCACAGGACCAGGATACGGCACAGTCCTGCTGCACCGCATCATTAGCCTTTTGCAACCCAGGCAGGCTCTTCGTTTCGGGAGGGGGTAACAGGCTGAGCAGCAAAGGTGGCTGTGAAGGCCACAGCAGACTTCGACAGTGGTAAAGCAGGCAGCTCAGCAGCAGAAAGCAGCTAATTAACAAGTTACCTCTGCACAGTATGCACAGACCATGGCAAGCGGAGGAGGACCTGGCGGAGTGAGGGATCCCACCAAGGAGTCCCCAGCGGGCACTGGGGTGCTAGGTCCTTTTGGTGCCAGGTCCCTGAGCCAAATCCCCAGCAGCGCCCAGGGCCGTGAAAACAGGGGGGGGCAAGAAATTCAGGTGGGATTTTGGGCAAAGGGTTGGCGCTGGGTCCTGCTGGAGAGGCTTTTCAGGTCTTGGTTCCCTTCGCACCCAGAGGGGATGGGTGGGTTTGGGGAAGACTGTCTTTGGTGAAAAATCATGAGATTTAATGCAAGCAAAGGTCTTGCAGCTGCCTCCATGAGATGCTGGGTCACACGCAGATTACTTTTCCCAGCCTTTTTCTACACATAAAAAAGCTAGAATTTACTCACCTATAAAAGCTGAAAACCAAACATGGTTGCAAAATATTGGGGTGCTTTACAGCAAAGAAACAATCTCAGGGAGGAAGGGATGCTGAGGGTGCCCTGTCCCAGCCCCAGCCTTGGATCGCAGCCGTGCGGGAGCAGGAGAGGTCTGGGGTGCCCAGGAGGGACGGGGGTGACGTGCCCTGGTGGGACGGTGCCACCCAGCCACCCCAGCCTGCAGCATCTCGGCCCTCCCGTCCCCTGGGGTGCCAGCTGAGCTACCTGGGAGCCCAGGGACGGGTAGTTAAAATACAGAAATGTCAGTTTAAATTAAAACGTGTATCATAAAGAGGGAGAGAGATAAAACCTTCCCCGCAGCACAACGAGCTGGGGGATTTATGGGGTACTGGGAGGACTGGTGCCCCCCACTGCAGCGGGCTCAGAGGGGACTAGCTTGGCTGTTGCTGCTGGCACTATGGGGCACCCCAAGGCACTGTGCCGGGGCGTGGGGGGCACCCGTCACCTTTCCACCCCAGCCATCATAGAGGCCAGGGCTGGGTCTGCGCCAAAATGTCAGCTCGCTAATAAAATGTGCAGGAGCTGCATTTTCTTCAGGCCAATAAAACTCCTGTGTGGCAGCAGGGATGCTCGGCATCCAGCTGCCCTCCTGTTCCAGCGCCCTTCTGGGCCTCTTCCCCACCTCCCTGGGGGGACACGGGGGCCGGTCTGACCCAGTGCTCGTGCCAGCCCCCCAAACAGTGTGTGTTGGGCGCAGGCCACAGCGCCGGCATGGCACACGGCTCCAGAGCCGCAAGTGGCACGGTGGGGAGTAAATCCACTGTGCCCTGTCAAGGTAAAGTGACAAAACACTGGCCTGCAATGCAGGAACCGCAGTTATAACAAGAGAAAATCAATGCGATATATTACCAGAGATATAAAGACGCCATTAATGCTTTCGCGCGGAGCCCAGCAACTTCGCTTGCCGTCAGCAGGGCAGGTTTGCTGGGAAGGCTCCCCGAATTCCCATCTCACTGCCCAGGTCTCCCACATGTGGGGCTCGGCCGTGTTTATTCGCTGACACCCCCCTCCAGCAAAGGGCTTCTGCTCCCACCCGCAGCCTCCTGGGCTGTGCCCCAGCCCGGTGCCCAGCCTCCAGCTGGGGATGAGTCCAGGACTGCCGCGGCCAGAGCGGTGCACGGCCTCTGTGGGCGCCCTTCCAGCCCCAGGGTGCAAGAACCTCGTGAGGCTGCACCCCTGGGCCAGGCAGCTGCCACCCCTCGCGTGCTCCAGCACCTCCTGGCTTTGATGGAAGGGGAAGAACAACCCCAGTTCAGCACAGTGGAGCAAGGGTGCAGAAGGATGCGTGGAAGGCGCAGCGCTCCCCCGGCACAGCGGCTGCGGGCAGGGAGCAAGCCCTGTGCTGGGGACACATGTGCTGGGGACATGCACCGGGATGCGTGCTGGGGACACATGCGCCAGGGACGCGTGTGCTGGGGACATGGATG